TTTTTCAACACCCCCCCCCCCAACCCCCACAAAAAAACCCAACAATATTGACGTGCTGAATCGAATTTGACTCTCGAACAGTTTCCCTTATAATAAGTAATTATGCTCCATAAAAAAGTGTGTGTCTGTGTATGTATCTGTGTGTGTATGTGTGTAGGTGTGTGTATGAGTGTGTGTGTGTGTATGAATGTATATGTGTGTGTACACGTGTGTGTCTGTGTGTGTGTGTACATGTCTATGTGTGTGTGTATGTTTGTGTATGTGTGTGTCTGTGTGTGTATGTGCGTATGTGTGTGTATGTATGTGTATGTGTGTACGTATGTGTATCTGTGTACGTGTATTTGTGTGTATGTGTGTGTGTGTGTGTGTGTGTGTGTGTGTGTGTGTGTGTGTGTGTGTGTGTGTGTGTGTGTGTGTGTTTCCTGAATATACCCACCTGTCTTTTGTTTTAGTTAGATTTGTATAGCACTTGTAACACAATTACGACACGTAAGTACCTTCTGTCTGTCTGCCAGGAAGTTAAATCCCTCTGAGGCCAGCTTCCCTTGACAGGTAAGTTCGACTCAGCCCGCCTCCAAAACGAGCTAAATTGGGTCATTGGGGAGAAAGAAATCTACAATTACACATTTGAACGTATAGTAGTACCGGTAGAGATGTTACAGCAGTCGCAACTTCATAGCGTCATATGAGCGCCAGAAGATTAGAGGTGTTACAAGAGAGTAACAACAAACATAAAAAAGAAAAAGGGGAGATAAGAACGATAGCTGTTTGATAGGAAAGAAGAAGCAAACCACACTAGAGCACCCGCCAACCACCCAAATTTGAACGTATTCAATTCGATGTTATTATATTACATTACGTATCTTGGATATTATCTTAATTATAGTAAATGATAAATAGCATGCGTATAGTGCACATCCCCACTCAACAGCAAGCTCTATGCGCTGAAGATCTTAACAATCTATCATTACCCCAGCAGATCTGAGGGCATTCTGAAACAATCTCTCAACATCCCGGGAGGCATAATAATACTTTCTTTCCGTCTCCCCCCCCCCCCCCCCCACCTTTTTTTGTTGTTGTTTACCCTTGTGTTGCTACACAGTGGAATCAGGCGTTTGTCAATCTTGGGGAATTTGGGGTCATTCGTTATCATCCACAACAACAATAACAACATCAACAACAACATAAATATAAAAAATAATAATAATAAAGTGAAAATAATAATGATAATAATAATAATGATGATGAAAATAATATAATAATGATAGTAATAATAATAATAATAATAATAATAATAATAATAATAATAATAATAATAATATAATAATAATAATAATAATAATAATAATAATAATAATAATAATAATAATGATAATCATCATCATCATCATAGTGATAATATTAATATTAATAATAATAATGATAATAATAATAATAATAATAATAATAATAATAAGGAGCCTATCAATATATTATTATTATTATTATTATTATTATTATTATTATTATTATTATTATTATTGTTGTTGTTGTTGTTATTATAATTATTATTACAGATTGCTTTTATATAGCACTATTTACTGTCCCAAATAAGTGTAAGCTCTGATCAAGAGGAAATGTTCCAAGTGTTGCACTTTACACGAATTTTCCCCACTTCACCCAGGTGAAAATGGATACCCAGCTATAGACAGTGAACGATATTTTAGCTTTAGTAAGTGTTTTACGGCACTTGCAGCACAATAGGTGCCGAAGATTAGAGGTGTTACAAGAGAGAACCCCCCCCCCTCCAAAAAAGAAGGAGAGGAGATAAAGACGATATATGTTTGATAGGAAAGAAGAAGCAAACCACACCAGCGCACCCGCCAACCAACCACGATACGATATTTAATTTACTATCAATATCCCATACTTTTATTACTGTTAATTATTTAATTGGCTATCAGTATCCCAAACTTTAATTCACCATCCAGTGCTAGATCTGCGACAGACATCGGAGATCATGGTTTTCCATTCATTCCTTTGCTCGGATGCTCTAAAAAAAGCTACGTTTTCCTGATCTTTACCTATTACCCATTTGTTTAGGTTCCCCAAGTATGTTGTTCTGGGCCTACCCCTGCCTCGCTTGCCCCCAATTTTGCCAGTGAGAGCTAGATGTTTAAGACCGTTATGTCTATTCAGGTGTCCCAAAAACTGCATTTGTCTTTTCCTGATTGTTTTTAAAATTGAGCGTCCCACGTGGGCTTCATCAAGCACTACCTCATTTGATTTCTTTTCATTCCACGATACTCTTAGCAGTCTCCCAAGGAACCACATTTCTGTTGCTTCTATTTTATTTTCACTGTCTTAAGTGATTGTCCAGAATTCACAGCCATAGAAGGGTTGACCAAACATAGCATTTCAGGACGTTCATTTTGGTGTTCATTGAGATGTTTCTAAATTTTCAGGATTGGGCTCATTTTTATTGAAACTAGCCTTAGTCATTGTAGTTCTCCTTTTTATTTCAGAGGAACATTTAGCGTCAGATGTTATCATATATCCTAGATATTTAAACTGTTGGACTTGTTTGATCTTTTCACCTTTGCTAATGAGATTGCAACTAGGGTTTGCTGCTTTTTTGGATATTACCATGCATTCTGTTTTCTTTACATTCAACAATAATCCTTTACGTTCACTTTCTGTTACAACAGTATCTAGAAGCAATTGAAGGTCCTTTTGGGAGCCTGCTATTAAAACTGTCATCTCCATACCTGATGTTATTAATATTTTCTCCATTCTTCTATGTTTCTAAGGATTGTTTCACTGTACATGTTAAAGAGGTCTGGTGACATAACACATCCTTGCCTCACTCCTCGCCTCCATTAATTCGTACAGCAGCATTTTGGTCCCAGTACACATTTCTGATAATTCTTAGATCTTTTCCATCTATGTCTAGCTTTTCCTGTACTTTTAAATAGCTCATCATGTCTAACTTTAGACGCCTTTGAATAATCTATGAAGCATAAATACAGATCTTTCTGTGCTTCAATACATCTTTCCATTAACACTGTTAAGGTGAATATAGCATTTCTGATGCCCTTGTCAGGAACAAAGCCGAGTTGCGTTTTAGATATCTCTGGTCTTACACTACTTCTCAATCTACCCATAATTGCTCCCAGCAATATTTTTTGTAAAATGACTCATAAGGCTAATTGTTCTATGCATACCACACTCAATGGCACCTGGTGTTTTAGGTAAAGCTATAAAAACTGACTTCATCTTATCTTCTGGGATCTCACCGCTGTCATAAATAACATTTAGGAGCTTTGTGGTTATTTCAGTGCCTAGTTCTTCAAGCCCGACAATCACTTCAACTGGAATATTATCTGGCCCTGTGGCTTTTCCTTGTTTCATTTTCCTAACGGCAGCTTGTACTTCTGTTTTCAGTATTGGTGGTCCATTTATTTCATTCTTTATTACCGGTTTTTCTCCTTTATTATCTTTGAAAAGTTATTTTATGTATTCTGACCATCTGTTTAAGACATCCCCGTTGTCCATTAAAATATCCCCTCCCTTGGATCTTATGGATCCTGTATTTGAGCATCCTTTTATCCCACTTACTTCTTTGATTTTGGAATGCATGTATTTACTGTCTTTGTTTTGGTTCTTCTCTATTTGTTGACACTGATCGTTTATCCATGTTTCTTTTGCTTCGT